GATAATTCTCATGGGAACATTATGCTCTGTTCCTGCCTTCCTTCTCCCTTAAGTCAACAAAAGTGAATATAACTTTCTCACAGCATGAAAAATATCTCTCTTTCCATCTGTCTTTTCCATTACTGCTTATTTCCTCTTCAACAGACTTATGCACCAAAGCTCAGAGATGCTTTATACACTAGTAGTTATACATGAGTGTGTCTCTGTGTGTCCAATTAACTCTGTGTGTCCAATACAAGTACATGGGGAAGAAAACTCAAAATGTTTGTCTGAGCTAAAAAATACACATACGGTAAGTAAAAGCATGATAAACCCATGAGCCAAGAAAAACCGTGTCTATACTTCACTTGAGTTTTAGGTTACAAACATACCTTGTGCACTGTGAACAAAGAAACATGAACAAAGTTGTGTATCTGCAACAAGTTAATAAAACACATTTACTGTGCTTAAAGGCAATGTCAAACAGTTTTCTAAACACATGTTCAGTCAAGAACCCTGGGATTTCAACAAGCTATGGATGCATTTATTTGGCAATAATCAAAGGTAAGTTCAAAATTACAACCTGTCCCAGCATGAAATGAACTGCACTGCACTTGCTGAATGTTTGTTTTAAAGGTGTTGGCTATGGCAAAGTAAGCAAGAGTGGTAAGACAAAACAAATCCTGTTTTTTCACCAGCTCAGCAGTGTCTTTCAGTCTTAACACGATCATTTACAAGTCCTGAAGCTTTAAAAAGCAAAGAAAAAGCATAAAGATTTCTCATTTTCTAATGTAATTAGCTTAAAACTTATCCATTCCAAAAAATAAGTGAGTTCAGTTCAATAACTTTAAAAAAAATCCTATGTCAGTAGTCCGTTGTCATCTATAACCAATATTACTTGGTAGATCATTTACATTCAACAGGTTTAGCAATCAACTCCATTGGCATATGAAAAAACAACTACCCAATCAGACACGTTAATTAGAATCAGTCAGTCTTATCATGTTGTTCATGGAACAGAAAAGTGAAATGTGCTGTGTTAAACATTCTTCTCATACCTAACCAGTAAAAAATGCTTTTGTTCCAGGTCTGTTATGGTTGCTAACTTGTTAAACTGTGTTGTGTCTCCTACCTATTTGCAGCAGAACTGGTGTTACCAGGGCGGTTTCCATGGCATAGCAAAACTCACGTCCAAACATCACTGTCCCGTGCATTACCCAGCGATGCAGAGGGATTCGGACTCCTCTGCCTTCCTCGTCCATGTCTGTCTCACTCTCACTGTCATATGCTCCTTCCTCCTTGGGTCTTCTGATCTCTGGAAGACGAGAAGCATCTCCACCCTCAGCTGCCATCTCCATTTCAGTCTGGTTTGACTTCAGGGGAACCATTTGCTTGTGGCTGTTATAGATCAGTATATATGTCTTTGCGCCACAGTTTTTCCTATAAATGCAAGCACAATCTTACCATCTTATCACTGTCAAAAAGTGTAATAGGCATAGTTTTCACCTTGATTTTTTATAGCTCATGAGAAGATAAAGCTATTTCAGAGGACTAACAAGTCACTACTAAGGTCAAAGCAAAAGAAACACAGAGGCGAGAACAATCACAGTTTTAGCACATCTCCAAAAGTATTTAATGGAGATGGGTAGTGAAGAGTGTAAAAGAGGCGAGGTGGGGTAATAAGTGTTTTATGGTCTCCAGCAGATGTTTGTGGTGGTGACCTGCAGTGAACTCCTGAATAGAAGTGGCTGTGTGCATGAAGTTTGGGCAAGTCCAACTAAGAAAGTTTGTGCTAGTCAGGCAAGTCCGGGTTAAAATATCTTGAGATTTCTCGGTAAACTCCTACTAATAATGTTACATATTAACCTGCAAAAACAAAACAAACAAAAAAAATAAACAGATACCAGCTGTGCAAAAAGCTAAAGCTATGACAACACAGGATGTAGCTTTGCCTTGATTTAAACAGGGAAACCTGTTAGTGCATTTTCCAGAAAATCTGTTCAGTCTCCAAATGCTGATACAGAAGTCTTATTATTATTAAGTAGATTTTTTTTTAATGAACTGTTATTTCTGCAAGTAAATTCTAGTGTGAATGAAAAAAAACAAAAAACAAAAAACCACACCACTGTCCTAGATGGGTGCTATAGCAACATCTTCCCCCAGAATTGCTTTATTTCCTCCTTATAAGATAAGATAAGATAACCTTTATTAGTCCCACATGTGGGAAATTTGTTTTGTCACAGCAGGAAGTGGACAGTACAAAAGTTATATAGCAAAAATTAGAATACAATACATTTTATTAATTGTATAACTCCCAGAGCCACTACTCAAAGAGATAATACCTCCCTTAATGATAAGATGATGTTGATGGAGAGAGTGGTCAAACAGATCAACCCATACCAATGCACAGGTATCCAACTTGGTTCAGATCTGGTGACTGTGAAGGTCATAGACTCCTAGCACTCTCATATCTATCATCATCCTGGAAGAGATCAGTGCCCTTAGGATTTTTTTTTTTTTCTTGTCTTACAACTCTCTTTTCAAGGGGAATAAGTGGAACCAGACACTGCCAACAAAAGGCCTAAGAGTTCGAACAGAGACACCTGATTCCCTCAGCCTAGGGTTTGAGAGGTTCACCCCATAATGGGTTTGTATAATTTAAGCCGTAAGACATAACAAATAATTTACAATAAGTATAAGCATCACAGACTCAAATAAAGGGCCAAACGATCAAAAAACTTAGACTGAATTAACCCAAGATTGCTCTGTTAAATCCAGTGACATCGCCACTATCTAGGACCTTTAGTCATAAAAGCGAAATCAGACTCATAGACAAGAGCCACATTAAAAAATAAACCATTATTACACCACTATTGCTGTTGCGTAAGTGGAGCAGAAAGCAAGCAGATCCTATTGAGACATACCTTACAAGAGAGCATGGCAAAGACCATTCTTCTATTGTTCACTTATTCATTTTCTGCCCCGCTCTTCTGAGGTGAGCAATATGAAAAAAAAGCTTAGATCATGTATAAGTTTATGTTTAATGAGAGCCTTGTGCAGTTTTCTGTCATTTTCACAAAGAGAAAGATCAAAGTGTTTTTGTGTTTAGTTAGTAATCCGAGCAAATTAATGTAGAAAGGTAACTTTTTTTAAAACTTCCTCGAGGTGTGTGAGCTGAATTCTCACAGGACTGTGTGTACACGTGAAGGTCCGGGGGGCTCGTTGGACCAGTTATGACATGTTTTGCCTCACCTGAACTACCTGCCAGCCTATAAATAATAAATAAATAAATGAATGAATGAATATATTAAAAATGCTTTGCCGTTTTATGCGAATAAGGCGCACAGCTTTAAAAGTGTATTCTCGTCTGGACTGAGAGGAAAAACACCAGACTTCAGGCGCATTACCGTTAACCTGACTTTGACTGACGCAAAAAGTTACCTTAGCAAGCTAGGCTTGGCTGATATTAAGCAACTTACGTTAGCGAGTTAATAGCGGAGAAACCCACTTTCATGACAGACAGGAACGTGTAACGTACCTGAGATTTTACACCGCTGTGGTAAAGCTCAGCCAGTTCCGCATTGTGGAAAACTTCTATGACGTGTTAGCACAAAAAAAAATAAGAAGAAGAAGAAAAAAAACCCTCTCACTTCTTTAGGTTTGCAAAACCTTTGCAAGCTAACTGGGTGACCATAGGGTTTACTACACTCACCAATTTCAATGGTTTCCACATTAACACAGCGGGGCGTGGCCATCAGAAAACCTTCGTGACGTCAGCGAACGCCTCACCTATGGACGGTGAAAGGGCAACTAGCTAGCATGATATAAGTGGAACCAACTGCATGGAAAATTGATGGATTGATAACATAAAGAAATGAAAATATGTCAACAATAATGGACCTCAAGAACTGGAAAAAAAGACAATTCACAAAGTCATAATGGAGGATATTTGTTTATTTATTTATTCATAATTCATTCATTCATTTACTCTTTTGTTTATTAGCTAGCACGCTTTCGACTCTTCCTAGAACTTGGTCCTATAGCTCTATATATGTTCCTATATGTTGTTCCTAAATCATTGACTTCGACTAACTTGACCATTAATTCGGTTAATTTCCTCCCTAACACCGCTCCAATATACATTTATTGTGATCTAGAGCTTCAAAAACAGGCTCTGAAGATTGATTAATTAGAAGCCATTAGTTCTTCAGGCTATTTAAAAATCGCATAATATTATACTCTGTTGTAAAAAAAAAAATTACATAAATAAACAAACAAACAATTATGTGCTTACATTCACAGAATCGTTGATTTCATTCGTCCAAGCGGTTTCCAGTGCGCTGAAGTTTCCTTCGGGCTCGTTCTCCATTGGTTTTTTCAAAGAATAGGCAATGCTTCTCCCTGGTGTACATCAGTAGTTATTATTCTCTAATATGTTCTGATTATATTACTTGTTTGGGGATTGAGGAGGAAAATGCCCTCACTATTAAAGCAAGACAAGAAGAGAAAACGTATTTAATATACTTTTTAACTTCACATCTCAGTTTCTGAGCTGGTTAAAGATTGCATGGGATTAGAAATTAGTATATATATCAGAGGAACAGCACAAGTTGAGCTGTTTGGATAGTTTGTATAGAAAGAATAACATTTTACAATTTTTCAGCCAGGAAGAGTCCAGCAAGAGGCTGTGAGCACACTGTTTTAATCTGGTCCAGTTCGTCTTGTTAAAGAGTCTCACCTTTCTGTAAGAGTGACACCACGCCACTGATTAATCTGCATCTTATTTTTGCCAAATTGAATGGCAGAAATAAAAGGAAAACAGACAAAACTGGAATATTTACCATTTTATTGAGACATTTTCTTGTGTAGTTTCTAGTAACATCCATAGGGCAGTTGGCTAAATTGACCAAATGTCTATAGACATTGACAAATGAAAAGTCAGTCCAGAGCGATGGCAATGTTTCTTGGTGTGAATATCATATACATGTGAATATCTGCATGGTGCTCATCATTGGAAAAAAATGGCAGCACTGAGTGTCTGTGTTGAGTTCTGGTGGTCAGCAAGTTGCAGAACTCAGAACTTTAACTGTGCCATCCCTATAACTTTTAGTTTTATGCACCCTTTGTAAAATATTTTATAGTGTGCGGTCCTTTCCTGTGTTGCTGCTCTGCAGTGATCTGAGAATCTTGGTCATCAATATAACATTATTAGTTATGGCGTTGTCCGTCCCTGCTGAGGCTTTAGAGCTGTGCTGCATACTGACAACGTCACCACTGGTCTGCTTGGGCTCCGCGCGGCGGAAAAGATGTCTCATAGTGGCCTGGAGACAGCAGGAGAAGTAAATTATTTGGAGAATCAATGAGTAAAAAAATGATGATGGACATATCACACCTGAAGGGACAGGTGGATGTGGAGAAAAGAAGAAAAATGTCAAGTTAGGTTGAAGAATGTGGAGGAAGAGAATAGGAAAAGTACTTCAGTCTTACCTGGAAATTATTTGTAACAAAACAGTAGACAACAGGATCCATACAGCTATTCAAACTGCTGAGGGTGACAGTTAGATGGTACACTATCACATGGTGAGGCATGTCAGGGTAGAAGTATACCACCACCTGCAGCACAAACAGGCAATGCCAAATGTTCCCATAAAAGCAAATACATTTTTATCATAAGGTCAAACAAAAACGTTAATTTCATTCATATGTTTATTGTGTTTCACTGTATTTTATTAAAAAATGTTTACTGTTTTTATCTTTGTTGTATTTTATTAAAATTATAATTTTGAGATCCTTACTATTTTCCCTATTTTGTATTCAGCTTTTTAAAAATAACATCCTATTGTATTTTAGTTTAGTATTTTATGTTAACTTTGCAGTCAATGACTGCCTGAAGTCTAGAAGCCATTTATATCCAAATGCTCAGTTTTCTCCTGTAAGATGCTCTGCCAGGACTTTACTGCAGTCATCTTCAGTGGCTGTCTGTTTGTGGATCTTTCTGAATTCAGTTTTGTTTTTGGTAACTGAAAAGCCTGCTCTACTGGGTTGACTGACTTGGGCATTGAACATTGTCTGATTTCTTTGTCTTGGGAAACACTCTGGTTGCTTCTGCGGTAAGATTTTTGTCACCATGAAGTGCTGTCTGGATCTGATCAGAGAGTACAGCCCTGTACACCTCACAGTTCATCCTGCTGCTTCTGTTAGCAGTTGCATCATCAATAAATACTAATGACCCTGTTATACTGGCAGCCATACATGCCCATGCGATATCACTGGCTCCAACCATGTTTGACATATAACGTGGTATGCTTTGGATCGTGAGCTTTTTCTTTGCTTCTCCATATTTTTCTCTTCCCACAATTCAGGTACAAGTTAATCTTTGTGTCATCTGTCCAAATAATCTTTTCCTGCACTGTTCAGGCTCTTTTAGATGGTTTCTGACAAAGTCTAATCTGCCCTTCCTGTCCTTAAGTTTAACCAGTGGATTTGCACCTTGCTGTAAACCCTTTGTGTTTACATTCATGAAGGCGTCTCTTGATTGCAGACTCTGACAATGATACATGAACCTCCTGGAGAGTGTTAGTGAGGAAACAGGCTTCATCTGACCATAAAATTATTTATCAGGAAGTTGTCCAATTACATTTGAGCTGCTGAAAATGGAGGACTGTGTACTGTGTGTATATGTATGTGTATACATAAACTTTCTGTCTTTTTAATACATGTCAATATTGGTTTGAAATATTGTACATGTATTTTTGTCTATATATTTATGTTATATATATATAGATTTTTCTGTTGCTTTATCATCTGGTAATATTGTCTAATCAAAATTGTCCTGAACCTTCCGGTGACCCACAATGCAGGGTCAAGGTTCACCCAAGCATGGATATAATTTATGAGCAGTTCAAGCAAAGGCTGGTTTTCTGCCTCACATTTGTTCATTTTTAATCCTTTTTAGAGGATAAAGTTGAAAGCATCCCCAGTTTCATGAGGGAGAATACAATCATTAATACTACTTGGCCTTTTACTTTATATATACTTGTTGCAAATACTTGTTGCTCACCTGTCTAACATGAAAGGGTGTGAAACAGACTGTGAAGATGATCAGCACAGTTGTCAACAGCTGGACAGCTCTCCTTCTCCTATCCCTGAGAAAATAAAGTTAAAGATACCATTATCTGCATATTTTTATGGGATATAAACTTTCCTATGTGTCAGTGAGTCAAAGACAGACAGATGGCTCACATACACACATGGAACGAAGAGGCTCACATTCAAACCCAATTTCAGTTCAGAATCAACATTTAAGAAAACCCCTGCACATCTTTGGACTGTACGGTGAAGCTGGAGTAACTGGAGAGAATCCATGTAAACAGTTAATGCAGTGCATCCTAAGAGTATTCAGAGCGCTTCACTTGTTCCACATTTTGTCATGTTACAACCTTATTCCAAAATCGATTTATTTACATTTCACTCGAGATTCTGCACACAATACCCCATACTGACAATGTGAAAAAGGTTTGCTTGAAATTCTTGCAAATTTATTACAAACAAAAAACAAAAAACACAAACATAACATGTATATAAGTATTCAGAGCCAGTGTGTGATTTCCTCTGAATATTTTGTGGATGCACTTTATTTTCTTCAATACAAGAAAAACAACTTTAGTTTTCTTTCCCGCCATCTGTCAGTGTAATATTGGTTCTACCTACCTGCTCTGTTGCATCAGACGACGGTCTGTTAAAGCCCACATAATGCGCAAAGTGAAGACCACAATGATGACAAGTGGTAGAAAGAACTCAAAGATGGTGAGAAAGAGGAGCTTTGAGAGACAGCAGCCTGTGTGCTGAAAAGCGGTGGAAAGAAAGGAGTAGGTAACCACAATGGCAAACAGCCATACAGAAATGCAAACACATTTGGCCACACTGGAGTTCCTCCAACGACGAGAGGCTTCAGCCTACAAAGACAGAACAGAATGTGCAGCCTTGTAAGTGTCTAGCATTTTCATAAGCACGACTGTGTAACCAAGCTACAGACGACACTCACCTGCACAATGGCAAGGTACCGGTCGACGCATATGCAGGTTAGAAACAGGATGCTGCAGTACATGTTGACAAAGTAGCTGAAGATGTGCAGATATGAGCAGGTGATGCAAGCTCCTCCACTGTAGTAGAGCAGGATGCGAGTCGGTAGAGAGAGATTCACCAAGAGGTCACTCACGGCCAGGTTGATGGTGTAGATGACTGAGGTGGTCTTTTGCTTGGTGCGGAAACAGAAAACATAAAGTGCAACTATGTTGAGCACCATGCCCACCTGAAAAACCAAAAGAGTTAAAAGATAGATGCGAGAAAAATTAGTAAGAGGTACTAATTTTCAACATAGAAATTATGTGCAACATTAAAAAGCCTTCGTCAAAACACCTTACCAGGAAAATAAGGGAGTTTATGACCACCAGTGCAATCCAAAGGCCATAGAAGTCATTGTAGAGCCCCTCATCTAAATGTGCCAGTCTTTGAAGATATCTTTCCATACCACTTGTGTTTGCTGGACCCGATATTTGAGGTGTATTAAAGGAAGTGTTGATGAAAAGCCAAGACTCTGTACCATTAATGTTCATCATCATGATGATGTGCGATGAGGTAATAAGCCACCTTAATGATGTTGATGAGGATTGTGAGGATGACACGGATGATAAAGTGGAAACTGTCAGAGAGAATAATACAAGTTTTATAGATAGAGATATATACACCACATTTACTGACAGATCCACGCATTAGTTGCATTAGTTTTCATGTTTAAACAGAAACCTGCAGTTTTACAGTTACATCATCTCTACATCAGGCCTGCCTTGCTGTACTATGTTACTTCCTCTTTTCTATGTTTTACTTCAGCATCTACAGAGAAACACAGGGACACACAGTGTCCTCCTTTTCTCTGATGCTCACTCTCTCTGTCTCTGACCTCATACTGGCTGTTGCTGTTGTCACAGATACACTGGCATGGCTATTTTAAACCAATATCTGGCTTGTTGAACCCATATATTTATAATGTAACTATATTTATTTATCACTACAGCAATACTCCCTGAGGGGCTAGGATTAATTCTCATTCCAGCTATTATTACAAATAAAAAATAAATACTTTTGCTCTTATTGGCCAAGATATAACCCTCTCACAAAGTACAGAAACAACATGTCATTACTCTGGACATCTAGGGACCTTTTCATTTAATCATAATAAAAAAGAGATAGATCATTTGTTTTCTTTTCCATTTAAATAGCTCACAAAAGCTTAGATCTATAGTAAGAGAGTCATTTCATGGCTACATTAATTAGCCCCTGTTTGAGCTGGCGTGTGTATGTTTATTTACTTTAATTATTTTACTTTAAGTGACTTTTACTAAAAGTGATCTGAGGATTTTACACCTAAAGCCAACAGGACAGCAGTAGCGTGTTGAGATGAAGACTGTGAAGGAGAAGAGAAAGGTTACCGAATCAATCTCATGGAGAATCTACTGGCATTTAAAGCACTAAAAAAGGCCAAAGTCGCGTGATGTTTCGCATAAATGAGCTGGATTTCACTTCTGCATCCTTTGTCTTCCATGACAAATGCAGTTTAATTGCTCCTGTGGGTGCCACACTGGAAAGGTTTAAGAAGCCCAGTGTATGTGATGCCTGGAGTTTGTGTTTTGTGCTCCTTGCTTACAACAAATCTCTTAGCAAAATAATCATCCAGCTGATGAAAAATGTAGTCTATTCATGCTAATGGGAATAACATGCTCAACTGAGGGTGAGGCATGAATAATGTGATTCATCTGCATGAACCGGAGCAGTCTAGCCACACAACATTAAGAGCACTGAAGGAAATAAATGAGTGCTTTCACAGTGACACCCTCTGATATTAGTCAGCTTATTTGACCTAGTTCATCATTATTAACAGTGCGTACAAGCGTTATAGTGGGGCACTCTGAGGAAAGTTTTTATTTAGGCACTTGCTTCTTTCTCTCTCTTTTATGATATATGCACAAATATGAGTGTTATTCATTCTAAGCAACCCATGAACTATGTGTAAGTTTCAGCAGAATGGCAAAAAAGTTAGCCCTGTTGTCATTTCTTCTTTATTTCTAATAACTTGGGCATTTAAGAGTTACTTAAAAACTGTTCCCAAACATTCTTTGAGAATTTTTTTTTTCAGTTTGTTAAAGTTTTTCCACTTAGATTTCAATCTTAGGAATGTAGTCAGACATAGTCCCGTGACACTCGTAACTACAGCCAGTTGCATTTAGTTTGCCTTATTATTTGGCTTATTAATCCTTACACACTGTTCAAACCATGTCTTCACAGGATCCAAATTAAATGTTTTAGACTTTATAAATAGCCTATGAGACAATATTAAATTAATGATTAATTATTAATGTTAAATAATGTTTCACAGAGCATGAGAAAGTGTATATTTTTGG